AGAATCAAGTTCCTTGTGGTTGTAGGACTGAAGTGTATATGTTCATGGTTGCTGTCAGCTGAGGGCCACCCTATCTCCTAGGGACCTCTCTCTGATCCTTACATAGGGACTGGTACATCTCAGAGCCAGTAATACCACAATATGTCTTTCTCATGCTTGGGGACTGACTTTCCCTTCTACCACATCTCTCTTGCCTGCTCCTTAAAATTCATCTTTCTGACTACAGCCAGAGAAAGTTATCTGTTTTTAAGGGTTTATGTGATTAGACTGTGTTACTTGGATAATCCCAGAAAGGTCCCTCTCTTAAATTCTGTAATCTTTCTTAACATCTTCAAAGTTATTTTGCCATGTAAAATAAGAAATTCAGTTCTTAGGAATTAGGGCATGGGATCTTTAAGTGGGGTCATTCCGCCCACACATATTTCTTGTCTTGTTAGAAAGGAAACCCTCAGAACAACCAGAAAATTTTGAAATAAGTAAATAATCATGTAATATCTGTAATGTAAAACATGCTTGCTTAGAATGGCACCCTTATGCACTGCTCAACCATGTATAGCAGCCCTGACCTACCGGCGGTTCAACAAAGTCTTAGATGTGTCCATGAAACTAGGGGACTGGGATGCCTGTTGGAGTCTTGGCTTATACAGTTACCTTCCATTCTGGTGATGTTTCGTAACACAACTTGCCAAATTATTAATACACAGGTAGTAAATGGCAATCTTTTTGCATGAGAGCAGAAGAGTAATAGGTGGAATCAATAACAGCAGTAAATTAACAAGTAGTTCTTAGAATCTAATGACATTTGCTGGACACTTCTTACGTTCCTGTTTTACAGGAGATAAATCTAGGGTCCAGAGCAGGGATGCGACTTCCCCAAAGTCGCATAGCTATACAGCTAGTAAATAGTGGAATCAATTTCTGAGCCCAGGTGTCTGTACTATTCCCCTTCTGTTGGTCACTGGAACTAAAATTGTTTAGTGAATCTTTCAGTTTTCATAGTTTGTACTGAAACCAGATTTTAGAGCTTTTGAATCTTTTAAATCATAATCTTGCACATATCATAGCTTTTTTGATAGATAATATGATTTTTGATGTTCTTTTATTACTATTTTTTCCATTTCAAAATAACGAAGGATGGGCTAGCATATTTATTTCATTTATTGCTTCCCTTCTCTATTTTCTTAACCTCATTAATAATATAAATTCATTTCTATTGTATGCTCTGAGCTGTTAGAAACTTGCCTTTTATAAAGCTTTTCCATGGGCAGTTATTCTAATTGAAATAATGGGACTCTGTACAAGAAGGAAAATAAATGTGACTAACCCTGGGGATCTAGGAATTCTTTGCTTTGCACTTTAGCACCACTGTTCATTTTTCTGAAGCTACTAATTGTTTCACCTTGCAGCATTAATGCTATTGGAACAGTGCAGTTTCAAACTTTCATCTCCCTTTTACACTCAGGAGAATTAAAAGCCACAGTATCTCATTCTAAGAGGTGGGCTACCCAAATTTTCTAGGCTGAGAAAATAAAACCTAAAGAGATAAAGAGAATAGTAAAATAACTTTCATTTCAGCATCTAAATTGTGATAGGATGGCTTAACTCCTTTCCCACGCTTGGAGAAATGTATCTGTTCAGTCTTAGTTGAAAGATAGTGCACTTTCCATTGGAGCATTTGCTTTATATTTGTCACTTTTAAAGCAGTTTTTTTTTTTTTTTTTTAATTTTGCTATAAGAATGATGCAGTTAGCATCTGTTGTCAGTGTACTGTAATGGAGCTCACTAATGTTCTACATCCCTCCTCTTTCACAGAGTACGATTTTGGAAGCAAAGTAATTTTCAGCGATCTGAAAGCCTGTTTGATATATAAAAGGAGTTACCAGAATGACTAACATAACCATTCTTATTTTTTCCTATCCTCAAAATGGTACTCCTGCCCCCTCCTCCACCCCCGTGTTTCCCAGGATGTGCTGAGTTTTCTTTCTACTCTGGAAAATGCTGAGAGAAAGAGAAACTAAATATATGGAGCAGAGAAAAAACTTATCTGAATATTCTTCAAAATACTTTCCTTGTAGTCCTTCAAATTTAAATTTCTAAAAGTATTTACTGTTATGTAAAAGATGTAAACTTATTTTGATCCTCTTGCAAATATTATTGTCTTATCCAGTGTTATGAATAAATAAGAAGAGAAAAATCACTGATTTCTCAGGACCTAAAGATTATTCTTTTAAGCCTGCCTTCTTCCTTCCTTCCCTTCCTTTCCTTCCTTCCTTTCCTTCCTTTCCTTCCTTTCCTTCCTTTCCTTCCTTTCCTTCCTTTCTTTCCTTTCCTTCCTTCCTTCCTTCCTTCCTTTCTTTCTTTCTCTTTCTTTCTTTCTTTCTTTCTTTCTTTCTTTCTTTCTTTCTCTTTCTCTCTCTCTTTCTCTCTTTCTTTCTTTCTCTTTCTTTCTTTCTTTCTTTCTTTCTTTCTTTCTTTCTTTCTTTCTTTCTTTCTTTCTTTCTTTCTTTCTTTCCTTCCTTTCTTTCCTTTCTTTCCTTTCTTTCCTTTCTTTCCTTTCTTTCCTTTCTTTCCTTTCTTTCCTTTCTTGTCTTTTTTTGAGATGGAGTCTCGCTCTTGTGACCCAGCCTGGAGTGCAATGGCGTCATCTTGGCTCACTGCATCCTCTGCCTCCTGGTTTCAAGTGATTCTCCTGCCTCAGCCTCCTGGTTTCAAGTGATTCTCCTGCCTCAGCCTCCTGAGTAGCTGGAATTACAGGCATGCCCTACCACACCTGGCTAATTTTTGTATTTTTAGTAGAGGCAGGGTTTCACCATGTTGGCCAGACTGGTCTCAAACTCCTGACCTCAGACGATCTGCTCCTCTTGGTCTCCCAAAGTGCTGGGATTACAGGCGAGAGCCACTGTGCCTGGCCTCATTCAGTTAATTTATTGAGAACCTGCTGTGTCCTAGATACTATTGACCACTATATGTACAGTGTCACTTTTTAATATAGCTTTTATACAGTTATTTTAAAAAGAAATTTAGAAAACAAGAAAAAATATTTTATATTTACCTGCATATTTACTATTTCTTTCCTTTTGACAATCTGTTTCTCTATAATGTCATTTTCATATCATCTTGATTTTTGAAGGGTATTTTTGATGGATATGGAATTCAGAGTTAACAAGCTTCTTTCGGCACCTTAAAAATGTAGCTCCATTGTCTTCTAACTTATATTATTTTTAGAAATGAGAAGACAATGAAAATTTTTATCTGTGTTTGCATATTTTTATTGTTTATTTTTACCTTTGGCTGCTATTAAGATTCTATATATCACTGGTTTTCAGTTATTGATTATGACAATGTCTTTATTTTTTTCCCCCTGTTTATCCTGCTTGGGATTCATTTAGCTTTCTGCATCTGTAAGTTACAGTTTTTACCAAATTTGGAATTTTTTAAGTCCTTATTCAAGTACATTTTCTTCCTCTGTGACTCCAATTATACGTTTGTTAGAATGCTAGATATTGTTCCACAGGTCAGTGATATTCTGGGTTTTTCCTCAGATTTTTTTTCCCATTTGTCTTTCATTTTAGATAGTTTATATATTGCTGTGTCTTCAGATTCGTGGATCTTTTCTTCTACAGCTAAGCTTATTTGTTCAGTTTTTCATTTCACATATTGTATTTTTCTGCTTTAGAAGCTGTATTGGTTTCTATTTTGTATTTTCCATTTTTCTCATCATATTAATATTTTCAGTGAAATCTTTAAAAATATTTGTAATAGTATTAAAAGGCTATTTGTCTGCTACTTCTGTCTTCTCTGTCATTTCTGGGACTCTTTGTCTATTAGTCATTTTCCTCCTTGTTAGGTTTCTGTGTCTTTATGTGTAGTAATTTTTTATTGCATGCTGTGAATGCTATGTTGTTGTTGTGTACTTGTGTCTGTGTGTATTTTAATTTTTTTTTTTTGAGGTGTGTGATTTTTTTGTTATTTTGGAAAGCTTTTAAATTACTTGTGCATCAGCGTAATCATTTAAAGGGTCATTTTAAAGCTTTATTTCAGCAGGTATATAGTAGTCTTTACTTTGGGGCTAATTTAACCCTCCTACTAAGTCATGTTTTTTTTTCCTGAGCTCTCTACTGAAAGCCCTGAATGTTCAGTGAAGCTGCTTAGAACTCACATGTCTCCCAGCCCTATGCGAGCTCTGGGAATTGCATCACTTACAGCTTCCTGATAGTTGTTCTCTGCTAGGCCTCATGGAATCTCACACTAAACATGTATAGCTTATTATTTATCTAAAGACTCATTGAGATTCCATGCAGCTTTATGGAGTTCTATTAATATCTCTGCCTACTTTCCTCCTTGGAGGAACTCTTAGAAACCTTAGTTTCCTCAGGCTCCCCAAACCGATCTCTATCTTCTTAACTCGGTGTGAATGCCATTTTCTGCTTAGGTTCCTCCTCCTCATCCTTCCATCTATATAGTACCTTTAGGCAGAAATCTAGAGTATTTCAGGGCTTATTCATTTTCCTTCTCTCAGAGATCATAGTCCTTCCCTGCCTGCTGTGCAGTATCTGTATATAATTGTAGCATGTATCTTACTCAGTTTTCTTGATGTTTATAGCAGAAGGGTAAGTTCATTATGGCTGGAGGCAGAAGTCCCTGCTAGTTTAATTTTAATTCTGATTTATTCTTATTCAAGTAGTATTTAGTTAATGGGAATTCTGACCAGCTGATTATACAAGGTGCAATAGGGGCATGCCTCTGAGATTTGGGCTTTTGTATTGACTCACCAGGCATGCATTCCAAGTAAGTGCAGACTGGGCCATCCTAAATCACAAGATTAGTAGCAAGACATATCAATTTTCTTATTCTCTCATTAATTTAGAGTGAAGTTTTAAAAAATACTTCAGTTTTTCTTACACCCTCTTTAATCAGATCCCATTTTTATAAATCATGTTTTCCTTATGTGAAGTGATACAGCTATATTGCTAATCAACTGTATCCTTTTAAAATTTCAGGAGCAGCATTTCTTGCTATTACCACTATCTATGCTGAGACTGGTTCAGGTTTTGTAGTACCAAGTGCTTCTGCCAAAGCAGGTGTGGAAGCCATGAGCAAGTAAGTACTTCCTTGTCAATCCTGTTGCTGAACGTAACTAATACAGTTTGGTGGCGCAGGGAACTAAATTCTTGCTTTCTGGTGTCCATCCAGAGAAAAGTAAAACAAAGACTTGGATTCACCATGAGACACGCATTTTATCTCCCAGATAAGTCTTATTTGTCTATAGCAGCATTGTCCTGTGGAACTTTCTGCAGTGATGGAAATGTTCTGTAAATATGCACTATCCAATAGCCACATGCAGATATTGAACCCTTGGAATATCCCACTATGACTGAGAAACTAAATTTTAAAAATTAATAGTTGTATATGGCTAGTGGCTATGTATTAGACACCACAGGACTATAGCTTTTTTGCTCTCCCAAAGATCTTTATCAGTGCCATCCCTAACCCCTCTCATAAGCACATCTTTATTCTTTTATTTCACATACTGTTTAAGGTTAATGGGACTAACACAGACTATGAGAACTTGCCAAGTCCAGTGGCCTTCTCTCAGCAGAGTATAACTGCTTTTTTTTTTTTTCTCTGAGACAGGACTTCACTCTGTTGCCCAAGCTGGACTACAGTGGCGCAATCATAGCTTATTGCGGCCTTAATCTCCCAGACTCAAGCAATCCTCCCACCTTAACCTCCCAAGTAGCTGGGACTACAGGGAGGTGCCACAGTGCCTGGCTAATTTTTAAAAATTGTAGAGATGAGGTCTTACTGTGTTGCCCAGACTGGTCTGGAACTTCTGACCTCAAGAAATCATCCTGCCTCAGCCTCCCAAAGTGCTGGGATTACAGGCATGAGCCACCATACCCAGCCATGATTGCTTTTTGAATTTGTTCTCCATTGTCTTTGTTAAAATGGGGATTCTCATCATTTCATTGCTTGTCTGGCTTGCTGTAATCACGGTATATTTCTTTGCTACCAGTCTCTTCCCCCTGTATTTTTTATTCACATTTTCACCAGAATTATCTTTCTAAGAACATGTATGTCTGCTCACGACACTCCCCAGCTAAAAATCTTAGATCATTTCCTGTCACTCTTTGGAATAAAAGCCAGAACTCACTATGGCATTCTAAACAGACTTGTCTCTGGCCATTGTTAATTAATTTATTTATTCAATAAGTATTTATTATATACCTTATATGTGCTTCGTCCTAGGGATATGATAGTGATGGAAATAGAACAGTCCTCATTGTCAGCTGAGTTTAAATTTTTTACTATTCCATTTATTATTTCCATGCTTTAATTTCCATTAACTGTTCCATGTTTCCCTAAACATACCATACAGCTTTCCTATGTCTATGCCTGAGTTATATTGTTGTTGGAATTTTGCTGTGATGTTTTGCTTACTTCCTTTGGGATATTTTCTCTGTAATCATTTCCTCCTCTCTGCCTTAAAACTTTGTTTAATCCAATCTAGTGAGAGGACAAACACTAATAAGTAGATTCTAAAATGAAGGTAATATACCAATATAGCAGAGGCAGAGAGCAGGGCATGGCCGGCTGGAGTGCAATGGTGCGATCTTGGCTCACCACAACCTGTACCTCCTGGGTTCAAGTGATTTTCCTGCCTCAGCCTTCCAAATAGCTGGGATTACAGGCATATGCCACCATACCTGTCTAATTTTGTACTTTTAGTAGAGATGGGGTTTCTCCGTTAACATTAAGCAATCTGACTTCCCCACTTCAGCATGAGTTCTGTGAGAGAAAGGGCCATATGTTTGCATCCTCATTACCCAGAAGGTTCTGGTCCATAGCTGGTGCTCCATGCTTGTTCAGCTGAATTATGGTACTCTTCTTTTAGTAATCCCAGAGCATTTTTAATATTTAAGTCAGTAAATACACATTAGTTTGAGACAGAAAGAAATATTTATTCACAAGCTGAATCTTAGTCTGAATAGAGATAATTACCATTTTTAAGGTCATGTGGTGTTGGAAATAAAGGATGAGAACTTGACTATTTTGGCAGCATTTGTTCATTGTCAATATTTGTTTTGTGAGAACCCTTCAATCTTGTTAGAGGTTTTCATCTCATGTCCTTTAAGAACTGATTTGGTGCTGCTTTTATTGTGTTCCTGCATATAATAGATGCTCAGTAAACATGTGCCTTCCTTTACAGCTTGAGTTGCCATCAACCTTCTTCTCATACTTTATAGTACACAGTCATACTAAATAAGGCATTGTAGGTTCCCAAATTCTACATGTTGTTTGGGCCCTTGTCCTTTACTCATACTGACCCATATGCCTTGGCTGTCTTCCTTTCTCCATCTGTATTAGTCCGTTCTCATGCTGCTATGAAGAAATACCTGAGACCGGGTAATTTATAAAGAAAAGAGCTTTAATTGACTCACAGTTCCACATGGCTAGGGAGGCCTCAGGAAACTTACAATCATGGTGGAAGGCACCTCTTCACAGGGCAGCAAGAGAGAGAATGAGTGCCATGTGAAGGGGGAAGCCCCTTATAAAACTGTGAGATCTTGTGAGAACTCACTCACTATCGCGAGAACAGCGTGGGGAAAACTGCCTTCAGGATTCAGTTTTGTCTACCTGGTCCCACCCTTGACATGTGGGGATTATTACAATTCAGGGTGAGATTTGGGTGGGGACACAGAGCCAAACCATGTCACCATCCTACCTCCTTAATCTGTCAGCTCCTCCTTTCTCCTGCCTTTTGCAGCAAACTCCTAATCCTTCTTCACCCATCAGCTCAAATGTTACCTCTTCAGAGAAGCCTTCCCTGTCACTCCCACTTAGGTTCTTCTTCTTTTAAGCAGGTATGGCTCACATCACACAATTCCCAGCCTAGTAACTAATTCATTATATAACCAAGCTCACCTCTCTTGAGAGGGAGGGACTGCTCTTTTGAGAGCAGGGACTGACTTTATTTGAGGCTAGGCAGTATTTATAGTATTGATACATGGTAAGTGTATGATAAACATTTGTTGAATGAACAATAATAATGGCTAACATATTGAATATATTGTTCTTAGCATCTTAACATGCAGAGCTAACTGTATGAGGTAGATTCATTATCAGATTACAGTAGTTCTTCAGTATATCAGCTAGCTTAATGACAGTTGAAAGATCATGCTAGCAATTGAACAAATGTATCTGACACACCTCTGAGCACAGAGAGGATGGCTTTTCCTCTAGGCAGATTTTCTTAACAGGTTGCTCAGTTTTTCATAGGATAATATAGACTCTGCTGAGTACAGTAATTCTATTAAGACATGAAGCAATTTAGAGTAGATACACTATAAATAAATGCCCAGGGTAGCTATGGCAATGAAGTTTGTCAAAAACATCACTCAGAGAAGCAATTTTTATGTATGTTCTATCTGAAAGATATACAGCCCACCCATTTCTCTAAAATACATTCATGGATTAAGTCAGATTAACAGGCTATCTTTAGATTACATGTACCCTATTCTGTAGAACTGGGTTTACTGAATTGACCTTTGAAGTGATGCTGTAAGACTGTATTAATGGATGTCTGATAGATTCATAGAACTTAGCCCATTTTTAAAATTATTATAGTTTACATTCTGGGATACATGTCCAGAATGTGCAGGTTTGTTACATAGGTATACATGTGCCATGGTGGTTTGCAGCACCCATCAAGCCGTCATTTACATTAGGTATTTCTTCTAATGCTATCCCTCTTCTAGTTCCCCAACCCTCGACAGGCCCAGTGTGTGATGTTCCCCTCCCTGTGTCCATGTGTTCTCATTGTTCAGCTCCCACTTATGAATGAGAACTTGCGGTGTTTGGTTTTCTGTTCTTGCGATAGTTTCCTCAGAATGATGGTTTTCAGCTTCATCCACTTCCTTGCAACGTATATGAACTCATCCTTTATTATGGCTGCATAGTATTCCATGGTGTATATGTGCCACATTTTCTTTATCCAGTCTATCATTGATGGGCATTGGGGTTGGTTCTAAGTCTTTGCTATTAAGAACAATGCTGCAATAAACATATGTGTGCATGTGTCTTTATAATAGAATGATTTATAATCCTTTGGGTATATACCCAGTAATGGGATTGCTGGGTCAAATGGTATTTCTGGTTCTAGATCCTTGAGGAATCGCCACACTCTCTCCCACAATGGCTGAACTAATTTACACTCCCACCAACAGTGTAAAAGTGTTCCTATTTCTCAACATCCCCTCCAGCATCTGTTGTTTCCTGACTTTTTAATGATTGCCATTCTAACTGGCGTGAGATGATATCTCATTGTGGTTTTGATTTGCATTTCTCTAATGATCAGTGATGATGAGCTTTTTTTTTTCATAGTTTGTTGGCTGCATAAATATCTTCTTTTGAGAAGTGTCTGTTCATATCCTTTGGCCACTTTTTGTTGGGGTTGCTTGTGTTTAATTTGTTTAAGTTCTTTAAGTTCTTTGTAGATTCTGGATATTTGCCCTTTATCAGATGGATACATTGCAAAGCTTTTCTCCCATTCTGTAGGTTGCCTGTTCACTCTGATGATGCTTTCTTTTGCTGTGCAGAAGCTCTTTGGTTTGATTAGATCCCATTTGTCAACTTTGAACTTAGCTTATTTTATCTATTGCAAGGATACAGTATCTTAAGGAGATTGTTATACTACACAATTTTCCTTTTGTAAGTCTAGAAAGACTTAAACAATTTTTCGTATTAGAAACAATTGTGCTTTTCCTGAACAATTAGCTTGCTTTTTCTTTATGGGTACTGTGGATTGTGTAACTGATTAGGCTTACCTTTTTTGTATAGTCATGGGATGAATAGATACCAGTTTGTGATGTGACTGTTGCAGTTATATGGAATGTCACACACTTCAGTAAATTTAGATATTAACTTCATTCTTGGCTCCATTATATTTCATTATCCTGGCTTTTCTCTCTCTTTATCTTGGTTTTTTTTCTTTCCTTCTTTCTTTCAAATTATCCTGTCTTCCTCATTTGCATCATATGTATTCTTTTAAGCTACCTTGTCATTATTTGAAATTACATTAAGTATATATACACACAAATATATGTATGAATGTAAATTCCTAAAATGAATTTAGATTTTAAAAGAGCTATCTGTAAAGTAAGCTTTTAAAACAACTTCCTTTGAAGTTCTTTGTTTGCTATTAGTGTTATATTTTGCTTCAGGACATTAAGCAAGATTTTGTTAGATTCCTATTTCAAGTTTAGTTCAACAATTATATTACAGCCTAGTTAGACATGGAAGTGGTTAATATTTTCAGTCGATGTAATCTTTTACTCAAATAAAACACTTTTGATGTTATAGACATTGTAATCCAATGTACAGGGCTATGAGTAAAGTTATAATGAACTTTGTAACTATAAGACTCAACTCCAGAAAATGTGAGGGAAGGGCATAAAGCACTCACGTTTTTATGTGAGTAACGAATACCTACTCTAAAAATGTATATTGACATTGGACTTTATATTCTAAACTACAAATGGTAGGTGGTATAGCATAGTGGTTAAGGACACGAAAATGTAAAGGGTAGGTTGTACAGTAGAGTGACTAAGGGTACAGACTGAAGCTAGACCTCTTCAGATTGACAAATTGGCCATTTGACATAGAGAAAATTATTTAACCTCTCTGTGCCTTAGTTACATTATCTGTAATATAGGGAGCGATAATAGTACCTACATCTTGGGGTTGTAATCTCTGACATGTAGTAAGCATCTAGTGAGTCTCAGTTATTACTGTTTTTAACATATGGTATAATATCTCAGAATGTATGTTGTCGATTTTAATCTTTAGGTCTCTTGCAGCTGAATGGGGTAAATATGGAATGCGATTCAATGTGATTCAACCAGGGCCTATAAAAACCAAAGTAAGTTGTATTTTGCTTGTTATCACATTGTGAATGATAAATAATGAAACACTGATAGATATATTCTGGTTGTTGTGTAAAGGACTTTCCAGAGATGCCTGGGTTTAGAGCCCTGGTTCTAAGGAAGAGGCCTTTGCCTTTATTCATTATCGAATATAAGAAATAAGGAGGCGGGCAGGAATATAGCAGCTATGCAATTTCTTCATAATGTCAATTTCAGTGTCTTAATCTTTTGGGATCTTTTATGCCATCAGTGTTGGCACTTTATCTGATTTGCTTCAGTGGTTATTGTCCTGTATTTGTTAACTTTCACGACATTTTAAAGGCTCTTACATTGTCTGACGTCCTTTTTTAAAAAAAAATCAAGGAAATGTAACTATATTTATAGTTTGAGAGATGCTCCAGTAACTTATTATACAGTCTTTGTCTTGCTATAGGTAGGTAGCATTTTCCTTGACTCATGCTTGTGCCCTTTCACTCTCAGTCAATTATGCATGTCATCTAACGCCCACATCTCTCTGATTATGAATCCTTCTGACAGCATGGATTTCACCTGTAAGTAATAATCCTTGCAGATACTCATTGCAACTTGTAATTATCTCTAATGTTGTCACAGATGTTGCTCAGAATGTCCACAGCTTCTCTGCTCTCTCATTATTCCAAAATAACTTCACCCTCACACTTCTCTTGGTTTTTACCTAAAGCAGGTATTTATAATGCCAACCAGATGTAATGTTGAAAGGTCAGGCAAAATTTGGTAACTTGTTTCACTTGTGTAAACATATTGGAAAATAATACTAAGGGATATTTGGGTTATAGGTAGCTCTGGGTATTAAGTAATAACTTGGAAATGTCCATATTAGTTCATTTAGCAGTTTAAAGGATGGGAAGTAGAAATAAAAACTTCCTGAGTGATTGCAACTTGATTGACTATCTTATTTATCTGACAATTCAATACTAAACAGTCTAATACAGTTAGTGGAAAGAAACTTAAAAACATAACATTAAAATACATGATTCAGGGTGGCCATGTCCTAAGCATATCTGAAAAGAGGCTTATAGACACAAATGCTTCTCTCCAGGATACCAATATCTAGGGAAAAATCACCTGCATTTTATTTATTTATTTAACCTATCTTTATTGACTGTTCACTTTATGCAAGGGTACTGAGAAAGATACAGAAATATCTCTAAGAAAGTGCTTACCACTAAGTTTATAGTCTAGCCACTGAGATAGGAGTTGTACCCAAATAATAACTATTTACTGTTAAAGAGATTAAAAGAAAACTGAAGTGTAGAAACTCCCTAGCATGCACTTTTTAGAACCAGGATTGGGACCAGTTGCTACCCCTTGTCTCTGGGCTTTATACCCTCCTGGGAAGAACTGGAGGTCTCTCATGGAGTCCTCTGAGTGTTCTATCTTCTGGCCACGTTATTGAGGAAAACTGTCACCTAAACTTCAAGGCACTAGTACAGAAAAATCCAGTTGTTTTTATTAATCAGTGCACATCCGTAATTCATCTTGGTTTGTTCCTTCACGTCACTGACAGAAAGCAAATTGTTTGGCAAATTTAGTTATAGTTTTTCTCTGTCTAGAATCTAATTGAATTTCTATATCCTTGTTTTCTTCCTTTTCTAATATTTTGGGATGAAAGAAAAGGAATTTCCTCTTAAATATTTCCTATGAGCCACTTTTCTGTGTTTATTAAATGAAAAGCCAGTAATACCACTGCCTTTACCACCTAAGCTTGTACATATTTCAGAGTACCTTTATATACATTTTTTTCATTTGATGCTTATAACAGTTTTGTGAGGTAGCTAAGATAGATATCCTCATTTTACATAGAAGAAACTAAGATTAAAAGGGTTATATTTTCCAGTGATGTATTTTTTTTTTTAAAGAAGAATTTGGTGAAATTGTTTTTTACTTACAAAGCCTGAGGTTTTAAGCTGCATGGTAGCATGCCATTTTATACACATTTTTTTCTTAAGTAGGAAAGGAGTTGATTGAAAAACCCAACACAACCCAATTGTTTTCTTAATTTCTAAGGGTGCCTTTAGCCGTCTGGACCCAACTGGAACATTTGAGAAAGAAATGATTGACAGAATTCCCTGTGGTCGCCTGGGAACTATAGAAGAACTTGCAAATCTTGCTGCTTTCCTTTGTAGTGATTATGCTTCTTGGATTAATGGAGCAGTAAGCATTGTTTATTTCTCTTCACTTTTTTTTTCAGGAGTGTGTTTGGGGCAGAGAAGTCTGTTCTGGAACCAATCCTGACAATGCTAAATGTAAATATGATTTAAAATACGTATTTAGCTGTAAATAATATGAAAATATTATATATATTGTTTAAACTATGACATTTATTCAGTGATGTATTAGTCCATTCTCACACTGCTAAAGACATACCTGTGACTGTAATTTAGAAAGAAAAGAGGTATAAGGGAAGCGCAAGGAGTCAGGGAATTCCCTTTCCTAGCAAAGGGAAGCCCTGACAGATGGTACCTGGAAAATTGGAACACTCCCACCCTAATACTGCACTTTTCCAATGGTCTTAGCAAACGGCCCACCAGGAGATTATATCCCGCACCTGGCTTGGACAGTCCTATGCCCACAGAACCTCACTCACTGCTGGCACAGCAGTCTGAGATCGAAATGCAAGGCCACAGCAAGACTGGGGGAGGAGCATCTGCCAATGCTGAGGCTTGAGTAGGTAAACGAAGTGGCCTGGAAGCTTGAACTGGGTGGAGCCCACCGAAGCTCAGAGAGGCCTGCCTGCCTCTGTAGACTCCACCTCTGAGGACAGGGCATAGCTGAACAAAAGGCAGCAGAAACTTCTGCAGACTTAAAGGCCCCTGTCTGACAGCTTTCAAGAGAGTAGTGGTTCTCCCAGCACGGAGTTTGAGATCTGAGAACGGACAGACTGCCCCCGCAAGTGGGTCCCTGACCCCTGAGTAGCCTAACTGGGAGACACCTCCCAATAGGGGCCGACTGAAACCTCATAAAGCCGGGTCCGCTCTGAGTTGAAGCTTCCAGAGGAACGATCGGGCAGCAACATTTGCCGTTCTGCAATATTTGCTGTTCTGTAGCCTCCACTGGTGATACCCAGGCAAACAGCATCTGGAGTGGACCTCCAGCACACTCCAGCAAACTCCAGCAAAACAGACCTGCAGCTGAGGGTCCTGACAGAAGGAAAACTAACAAACAGAAAGGACATCCACACCAAAACCCCATCTGTGTATCACCATCATTAAAGACCAAATGTAGACAAAACCTCAAAGGTGGGGAGAAACAAGAGCAGAAAAGCTGAAAATTCTAAAAATTAGAGCAGCTCTTCTCCTCGAAAGGAATGCAGCTCCTCGCCAGCAATGAAACAAAGCTGGATGCAGAATGACTTTGACGAGTTGAGAGAAGAAGGCATTAGACGATCAGTGATAACAAACTTCTCCAAGCTAAAGGAAGATGTTCAAACCCATTGCAAAGAAGCTAAAAACCTTGAAAAAATATTAGACAAATGGCAAGCTAGAATAAATAGCATAGAGAAGACCTTAAATGACCTGATGGAGCTGAAAACCATGGCATGAGAACTACGTGACACATGCACAAGCTTCAGTAGCTGATTTGATCAAGTGGAAGAAAGGGTATCAGTGATTAAAGATCAAATGAATGAAATGAAGCAAGAAGAGAAGTTTAGAGAAAAAAGAGTAAAACGAAATGAACAAAGCCTCCAAGAAATATGGGACTATGTGAAAAGACCAAATCTACATCTGATTGGTGTACCTGAAAGTGACGGGGAGAATGGAACCAAGTTGGAAAACACTCTTCAGGATATGACCCAGGATATAACCCCAACCTACCAAGGCAGGCCAACATTCAAATTCAGGAAATACCGAGAATGCCACAAAGATACTCCTCGAGAAGAGCAACTCCAAGACACATAATTGCCAGATTCACCAAAGTTGAAATGAAGGAAAAAATGTTAAGGGCAGTCAGAAAGAAAGGACGGATTACCCACAAAGGGAAGCCCATCAGACTAAGAGCGGATCTCTCGGCAGAAACTACAAGCTAGAAGAGAGTGGAGGCCAATATTCAACATTCTTAAAAGAATTTTCTACTCAGAATTTCATATCCAGCCAAACTAAGTTTCATAAGTGAAGGAGAAATGAAATCCTTTGTAGAGAAGCAAATGCTTAGAGATTTTGTCACTACCAGGCCTGCCTTACAAGAGCTCCTAAAGGAAGCATTAAACTTGGAAAGGAACAACTGGTACCAGCCACTGCAAAAACATGCCAAATTGTAAAGACCATCGATGCTGGGAAGAAACTGCATCAACTAATGAGCAAAATAACCAGCTAACATCATAATGACAGGATCAAGTTAACACATAGCAATATTAACCTTAACTGTCAATGGGCTAAATGCTCCAATTAAAAGATACAGACTGGCAAATTGGATAAAGAGTCAAGACCCATCAGTCTGCTGTATTCAGGAGACCCATCTCATGTGCAGAGACACACATAGGCTCAAAATAAAGGGATGGAGGAAGATCTACCAAGCAAATGGTAAACAACAAAAGAAGCAGGGGTTGCAATCCTAGTCTCTGATAAAACAGACTTTAAACCAACAAAGATCAAAAGAGACAAAGAAGGCCATTACATAACAGTAAAGGGATCAGTTCAGCAAGAAGAGCTAATTATCCTAAATATATATGCACCCAGTGCAGGAGCACCCAGATCCATAAAGCAAGTTCTTAGAGACCTACAAAGAGACTTAGACTCCCACACAATAATAATGGGAGACTTTAACACCCCACTGTCAACATTAGATAGATCAACGAGACAGAAAGTTAACAAGGATACCCAGGAATTGAACTCACCTCTGCACCAAGCAGACCTAATAGACATCTACAGAACTCCTACCCCAAATCAACAGAATATACATTCTTCTCAGCACCACATCACACTTATTCCAAAATTGACCACATAGTTGGAAGTAAAGCACTCCTCAGCAAATGTACAAGAACAGAAATTATAACAGACTGTCTCTCAGACCACAGTGCAATCAGACTAGAACTCAGGATTAAGAAACTCACTCAAAACCGCTCAACCACAAGGAAACTCAACAATCTGCTCCTGAATGACTACTGGGTACGTAACAAAATGAAAACAGAAATAAAGATGTTCTTTGAAGCCAATGAGAAAAAAGACACAACATACCAGACTCTCTGGGACACATTTAAAGCAGTGTGTAGAGGGAAATTTATAGCACTAAATGCCCACAAGAGAAAGCAGGAAAGATCTAAAATTGACACCCTAACATCACAATTAAAAGAACTAGAGAAGCAAGAGCAAACACGTTCAAAAGCCAGCAGAAGACAAGAAATTACTAAGATCAGAGCAGAACTGAAGGAGATAGAGACACCAACAACCCTTCAAAAAACCAATGAATCCAGGAGCTGGTTTTTTGAAAAGATCAACAAAATTGATAGATCACTATCAAGACTAATAAAGAAGGAAAGAGAGAAGAATCAAATAGACACAATAAAAAATGATAAAGGGGATATCACCACCAATCTCACAGAAATACAAACTCCCATCAGATAATACTATAAACACCTCTACACAAATAAACTAGAAAATCTAGAAGAAATGGATAAATTCCTGGACACATACACCCTCCCAAGACTAAACCAGGAAGAAGTTGAATCCCTGAATAGACCAATAACATGCTCCTTAATGAAGGCAATAATTAATAGCCTACCAACCAAAAAATGTCCAGGACCAGACAGATTCACAGCTGTATTCTACCAGAGGTACAAAGAGGAGCTGGTACCATTCCTTTTGAAACTACCCCAATCAATAGAAAAAGAGGGAATCCTCCCTAATTCATTTTATGAGGCCAGCATCATCCTGATACCAAAGCCTGTCAGAGACACAACAGAAAAAGAGAATTTCAGACCAATATCCCTGATGAACATTGATGCAAAAATCCTCAATAAAATACTGGCAAACCGAATTCAGCAGCACATCAAAAAGCTTATCCACCATGATCAAGTTGACTTCATCCCTGGGATGCAAGGCTGGTTCAACATATGCAAATCAATAAACATAATGCATCATATAAACAAAACCAAAGACAAAACCACATGAATATCTTAATAGATGCAGAAAATGTCTTCGACAAAATTCAACAGCCCTTCATGCTAGAAACTCAATAAACTAGGTATTGATGGGACATATCTCAAAATAATAAGAACTATTTATGATAAACCCACAGCCAATATCATACTGAATGGGCATAAACTGGAAGCATTCCCTTTGAAAACTGGCACAAGACAGGGATGCCCTCTCTCACCACTCCTATTCAACATAGTGTTGGAAGTTCTGGCCAGGGCAGTCAGGCAGGAGAAAGAAATCAAGGGTATTCAGTTAGGAAAAGAGGAAGTCAAATTGTCCCTGTTTGCAGATGACATGATTATATATTTAGAAAACCCCATCATCTCAGCCCAAAATCTCCTTAGGCTGATAAGCAACTTCAGCAAAGTCTCAGGATACAAAATCAATGTGAAAAAATCACAAGCATTCCTATACACCAATAACAGACAAACAGAGAGTCAAATCATGAGTGAACTCCCATTTACCATTGCTTCAAAGAGAATAAAATACCTAGGAATCTAACTTATAAGGGATGTGAAGGACCTCTTCAAGGAGAACTACAAACCACTGCTCAATGAAATAAAAGAGGACACAAACAAATGGAGGAACATTCCATACTCATGGATAGGAAGAATCAATGTTATGAAAGTGGCCACACTGCCCAAGGTAATTTATAGATTCAGTGCCATCCCCTTTAAGCTACCAATGACTTTCTTCACATAATTGCAAAAAACTAAATTTCATATGGAACCAAAAAAGAGCCCGCATTGCCAAGACAATCCTAAGCCAAAAGAACAAAGCTGGAGGCATCATGCTACCTGACTTCAAACTATACTACAAGGCTACGGTAACCAAAACAGCATGGTACTGGTACCAAAACAGAGATATAGACCCATGGAACAGAACAGAGCCCTTGGAAATAATACCACACATCTACTACCATCTGATTTTTGACAAACCTGACAAAAAAAAAAGAAATGGGGAAAGGATTCCCTATTTATTAAATGGTGCTGGGAAAACTGGCTAGCCATATGTAGAAAGCTGAAACTGGGTCCCTTCCATCTTATGCAAAAATTAATTCAAGATGGTTTAAAGACTTAAATGTTAGACCTGAAACCATAAAAACCCTAGAAGAAAACTTAGGCAATACCATTCAGGACATAGGCATGGGCAAGGACTTCATGACTAAAACACCAAAAGCAATGGCAGCAAAAGCCAAAATAGACAAATGGGATCTTATTAAACTAAAGAGCTTCTGCACAGCAAAAGAAACTACCATCAGAGTGAACAGGCAACCTACGGAATGGGAGAAAATTTTTACAATCTACGCATCTGACAAAGGGCTAATATCCAAAATCTACTAAGAACTTAAAGAAATTTACAAGAAAAAATCCATCCCATCAAAAAGTGGGTGAAGGATATGAACAGACACCCCTCAAAAGAAGATATTTATGCAGCCAACAGACACATGAAAAAAATGCTCATCATCACTGGACATCAGAGAAATGCAAATCAAAACTACAATGAGATACCATCTCACACCAGTTAGAATGGCAATCATTAAAAAGTCAGGAAACAACAGGTGCTGGAGAGGATGTGGGGAAATAGGAACACTTTTACACTTTTGGTAGGACTGTAAACTAGTTCAGCCATTGTGGAAGACAGTGTGGCGATTCCTCAAGGATCCAGAACCAGAAATACCATTTGACCCAGCCATCCCATTACTGGGGATATACCCAAAGAATTATAAATCATGCTACTATAAAGACACATGCACACATATGTTTATTGCGACACTATTCACAATAGCAAAGACTTGGAACCAACCCAAATGTCCATCAGTGACAGACTGGATTAAGAAAATGTGGCACATATACACCATGGAATACTATGCAGTCATAAAAACAGATGAGTTCACGTCCTTTGTAGGGACATGGATGAAGCTGGAAACCATCATTCTGAGCAAACTATCGCAAGAACAGAAAACCAAACACCACATGTTCTCATTCATAGGTGGGAATTGAACAATGAGAACACCTGGACACAGGGTGGGGAACATCATACACACGGGCCTATCATGGGGTGGGGGAGGGGGGAGGGATAGCATTAGCAGATATACCTAATGTAAATGACGAGTTAATGGGTGCAGCACACCAACATCACACATGTATACATATGTGTGAAACATGCACGTTGTGCACATGTACCCTAGAACTTCAAATATAATTAAAAAATAAAAAGAAAAGAGGTTTAATTGACTCACAGTTCTGCATGTCTGAGGAGGGCTCAGAAAACTTCCAATTATGGCTGAAGGGTAAAAGTCATAACCTAACATGGTGGCAGGCAATAGAAAGAGAGGGAGAGAGAGAGAAAAGGGAGACAGAGAGGTGTGTGTGTGTGTGTGTGTGTGTGTGTGTGTGTGTGTGTGTGTGTGACGGGGAAAGAGCCCCTTATAAAACCATCAGATCTTGTGAGAACTCACTGACTATAACAAGAACAGCATAGGGGAAACTGCCTAGTCCAATCACCTCTCACCGGGTCCCTCCCTCCACACCTGGGCATTATGAGGATTACAATTAAAGATGAGATTTTTGTGGGGACACAGCCAAACCATATCAAGTGATAAATTAATAGATGCAAGTTACCTTGATAGATATACCTTTAAGATGATCTTCAAGATTGGGTAGATTTTTGAAATTGTGGAGATGTTAGAAATAGAATTATGAACTGTGTAAATCAATTTAGGTTTAATCATGAGTTTTATCTTTAAAATTTGGGCTTGATTTAAAGTGCCAAAGAGATATTCCATCCAAAGTATGGGAAAATGGCTAGTGGTTCAGAAACTTTTTAAAAGGAGTAGTTTCAGAGTTTAAAAATTTGTTTTTTCCAGGTTGTTAAATTTGATGGTGGAGAGGAAGTACTTATTTCAGGAGAATTCAATGACCTGAGAAAGGTAATGCCATTTTGTGTGTATAATGTAATATTAGCAGCTCAGATACTAAGCTTTAAAAACATGTAAAAAGCACATTAAATTGACATCTTTTTGTGTTAGGTCACCAAGGAGCAGTGGGACACCATAGAAGGACTCATCAGGAAGACAAAAGGTTCCTAAGACCACTTTGGCCTTCATCTTGGTTACAAAAAAGGGAATAGAAATGAAACAAATGATCTCTCATCTTTTGACTATTTCAAGTCTAATAAATTGTTAATTAACAAACATGCATTGAATATGTATTCTGTGCCAAGCCAGTGATAGCCATTGTATATTCAAAGATGAATAAAATGAAATATAGTCCTTCAAAACATTAAAAAAAAAAAAAAAAGGAGACATGGGGAGAGTAGGTAGTAGGTAAAGATTCCTCTTTACCACTAAAAAGTGCTTAGAAGTGCAGAGAAAACAGATCTTTGTGGCTTGGAAAATCAGGAGAAACTCAATGGTGGGGGTAGTATTTGAGTTACATATTATACTATACCTATACTGATAGGGCCTAAAAGAAAGAAATTAGAGGATACACACTAAATATAATAGACTTTGCCTTTCCAGTGTATTTTCTTTTCACTGGACTTGTGAATTACTTCTTTGGGTAACTCAGTATTAACTCATATCTTTAATTTTTACTAGGACCTATTTGTAGCCAGGCATTTCATTTAGTACTGAATAAGCTATAGCCCTTGCCCTTTTGAAACTCATTATCTAGCAAGATAGTCAAACTTATAAATAATTATTTATGGTACATTGTGATAAGTATTATTCCAGCAGTATTTGAGTGTGGAGGAGGAAGTAATTCATTCTGTCTCCAGAGTTTAGAGAATGTGATGCCTAGGAGATAGCATGCCATCCCAGCTGTAAAAGTAGAATAGATTTTTCTGGGTAAAAAAGGTAAACAAAGTCTATAAAATATTTTTGTGTATCATTTGATTAAATTTCCTCTTTGGTTTGACTAATTTGTCATCCTGAAAATCAAATAATAATGAATCCAAAGTCTCAAGTCTACAGAGCTATACTTCTGAGCCTATATTTTTAAAATGTCCATTTTGCTTTCCCAGGAGTCACTTATAACATGTTCACTAGACTGACTATCGCCATTGCCCAAGTTGACAGGAGAGGAAACCAGCTTCCATATTACCTCATCTAAATAAATCTGCAAAGGAATCCAGTTTTCCTGTTTGAATATATATGCCACAAGCCCCATGGAAACCCCAATTACATTGACAGTTAATTGTGTACATAAATTACATTTATTACATTTAATTGTGTACATGTAGGGGAATGTTATAGGTTTGGAATAAGTGGCCTGACATTTCTAATTATACTGACTTTCACTGGGCTTTTTAGGCTGTTACACTTTTTCTCCACATGCTTGCAATACAATACTCTCAAAATAAAATGCAGACAGTTACCTAGTCTCCATTTTACCTTTTGTACTAATCGTGTCTATTAGTCTGTTCTCATGCTGCTAATAAAGACATAACCAAAACTGGGTAATTTATAAAGGAAAGAGGTTTCATTGACTCATAGTTCAGCATGGCTAGGGAGGCCTCACAATCATGGCAGAAGGTGAGTGAGGAGCAAAGTCATGTCTTACGTGGTGGCAGGCAAGAGAGCTTGTGCAGGGGAACTCACATTTATAAAACCATCAGATCTTGTGATGCTTATTTACTATCACATTATTGTGTTGATATTGTGTCCACACACCATTAGTGATGGTTTATCACTCATTCCATTTCCAAACCCACCTTCCCACCCACCTCTCACCAAACACACAAAGACACTTTCCCTCCACTGATTCCACCAATATAGCGGTGTTTCTCTTTCTGGTTAAATTGATACTAAATGTTTACATTTATATAACTTAATACATTTTTTTTTCCAGTGTTGTTTCAACCTTTTTTTTTAAAAAAAAATTCAGATTACATGATAGATCCTTTTTAAGATAAATATTATTTTTAGTATTCTGTTGTTTTGATGTATCATAATTTATTGGAAATAGGATTATTTATAATTTTATTATCTTTTTAAATTTTTATAAAGACAGTGTCTTGCTATATTTATCAGGCTGGTCTTGAACTCCTGACCTCAAGTGATCCTCCTACCTTGGCCTCCCAAAGTGCTGGTGTTACAGGCATGAGGCACTGAGCCTTTGTTTTAAAATTTTTTGTTTTTAAATGTTTTTCAAGAATGCTGATGCCTCCCTTGCCAATGCATTTTAAAATTAGTATTAATATTACTTTTGATTGGAAAATCATAATTGAATTCATTTATGGGGTACCCTGTACATTTTAGGGGTACAGTGTGATGTTTTGGTATATGTATACTGTTAGGCAGGAGTCTAGACCCAACATGGCGGCATTACCCGGTGTAGCAGGCCTTTTGTTAAAGACTCCCTTCACCCTTGTACATACCCGCAGACTTACATGCATCAGAGTTCCGGCTGGGCAACCACACTCCCCCATGACCTGCAGCTCACCTGCATTCCACAAGTTCGTAAACAGCAGTTTCAGTTAACAGTTTCCAAAGACCCCTTCCTCGTGACCCTTACTCAACTCCTGCCCTAGTAGTTTCAAGACCCCCCCCAGGCCCTGTTTGCACAACCAGCTTCCCTACCTCTCAGGCTATAAGAAGCCCCTACCCTCCTCCCTCAGCGCAACTTCCTTGGCCCGCACCTTTGGACCGAGGAACCTCGCCCACGAGTCCTAATAAAAGCTATTCTCACTGCCACTTGCCTTGTGTCTTCGTTCCCAGTTCGGCTCCAGCCTCAGTTTACCTTTACATATACAATGTGGAATGATTAAATCAAGCTAATTAACATATCTATCACTTCTCTTACCTATTGGCCTTTATGGAGAGACATTTGAAATTTACTTTTATTAGTTATTTTTAAATATACAGTACGTTATTATTGACTATAGTCACCCTGCAGTAGATCCTAAAACCTGTTCTTTCTATCCGAAATTTTGTACGCTTTGATTAGAAACCCTCTTCTTCCCACTCCCTCAACCTCTAGTAAACCATCATTCTACTTTTTTTTTTTTTGAGATGGTGTCTCGCTCTTGTTGCCCAAACTGGAGTGCAATGGCATGATCTCGGCTCACTGCAACCTCCACCTCCAGGGTTCAAGCAATTCTCCTGCCTCAGCCTCCGGCGTAGCTGGGATTACAGGTGCATGTCACCATGCCCGGCTAATTTTTTATAGTTTTAGTAGAAACAGGGTTTCACCATGTTAGCCAGGCTGGTCTCGAACTCCTGACCTCAGGTGATCCGCCTGCCTAGGCCTCCCAAAGTGCTGGGATTACAGGCGTGAGCCACCATGCCCAGCCAATCATCATCATTCTACTTTCTACTTCCATGAGTTCAACTTTATTTGATTCCATACATAAGTGAGATCACAGGTTACTTTTATTTTTCAGTATTATAAATAAAACAACATTTTTGTGTATAACACATTTTTAGAATTTGGAATTTTTTTCTCATTTTTAGAAGTGGTATTATTAATCAAAGTTATGAAGCTTTTAAAGTTTTTTTGATATACATATCCAATTGTTATTCCAAAGATTTGTATGGGTTTAAACCCCCCTGAGTAATGTGTGACAGTGCCCATTTCAACAAATACCTGCCAACAATTAAAAGTATTCACCAATTTTACATGTATCAAATGATAGTACCATTAAAAACTTACTATTAGTGAGATTGAATACTTTTATACACTTGTGAATTTCCTGTTTGTCATTTTACCTATTGGTATCTTAATGGGGTATTGTAAAATTTTTGATTTGTATGAGTTTGTATGCAATTTTTTTCCTCTGTTAAAGACAAAAATAGTTCTTTTAATAGTTTCTTAGTCATCTATTGCATCATTATTATGTGTTATTACAAATGGTTGATGAGAAAGCAAAGCTTGCCAGCATGGCAGAGAGGATCAGAGTTGAGAGATCATGGAGATACTGACTAACAGATATTTTTTCCTGAGTCTGAAAGAAAAGCATTGTTTATGGGTAATTCTATGACAGACCACATGTGGGCTGTAACCACATCAGTATTCACCTTAAGAGTTACTTTGTCACTCAATACCTTCTGTAAGAGTCCTGCTTCTATTGTACTAGTGGAAGAGTTAATACTCAGTAAATTAAAGATTATTGGTAACAGTTTCACTCATCTTACCATTAACATGTGAAACCACCTCCGGGAAATGTTTCAGGTATAGAGTGACAGCCATTGTTTCCTTATTGTTCTTGTGGAAACTAAAACAATGAGAATTTAATGACTTTGAATAATAGAATTTTAGAGCTGGTAAAGCCTTAGAAAATGCTAATTCTCAATGTTTTTGTTTTACAGTTAAGGAAACTGCAGACCTAGAAAGTTATGTGACTTGCCCTAGGTCACACAGTAAGTCAGGCTCATGTCTCTCACCCAGTTGGATATTTCTTGGGATCATAACTTAAGAGACAATAACAAGGTTTTTAGGAGTTAACAGTTACATTACAAAAACCTTGGAGAAAACCCATCAATGTCTTTAGCTTGTTAGTTGAAGTATGACTTCTAAAAATGCACAAATCATGAATTATTACAAATGAATGCACTCGGGTAACCTTTCCCCAGGTCAAGAAACAGAAGAAACAGAACATTACCAGGAACCCAGAGGCCTCCCTTGTGCCCACCATCGTGACTCCTTTCCTCCTCCTCACAGCTAAACACTGTCTTGACTTCTAACCCCATCGTTAAGCTGTTTTGAGATTTATATAAATAGAATGACACAGTATGTATTCTTCTGTTTTTTGGCTTTCTTTCTGTGTAGTAATTGCTTATGCATGCTCATTGTTATATTCCATAGAATATAAGGTATATATGAATATACCACAATTTATTTGTTAGTTCTGGTGTTAGTGGACATTTGAATTATTTCTAGTTTGAGGCTATGCCAAATACAAAGCTGCCGTGAACATTCTATTCTTTTGGCGAAAATATATACACCTTTATCTGTTAGACTGGTAATACCTAGAAGTGAAATTGCTGGGTTTTAGGGTATGCTTGTGTTCAAATTGAGTAGATACTGTCAAATGGCTTCCAAGACTATTGACAATTTAACCTCCCACCAAGCTGTTTGGGAACTTCCACCGTGCGGCATCCTAACCAGTAGTGAGCATTCAAATTCTCTTTACTTTGAGCCATTCTGTAAGTGTGCGGTGGCATCTCGTGTGTTTAATTTGCTTTTTTTTTTTTT